TGCAAAGGCCTGGTTCCGGGTCTGATTTGATGATTGTTTGTTTTTCCCATCCTAACAATCAACTTCGTATGGAAAACCGACTTCCATGCGTCAGAGGGAACATTTCCTGGTTTCATCTACCTTCACCTACAATCCGAATGCATGCTCCGCGGGTCACGTGGATGCTTTACGCTCAAAGGCATTATTCCAAAGCAGAGGGGCGAAGGCGCATTGGCAGTAGGCTATGGCTGCCGAGTGGTGAAGGCGTCCAACTGCCCTGGCCAAGTCCCACAAGGAGTCCTCCTTTAACGGGGCGTTAACACGAATGTCTTCACCCCGATACAATAGGCACTAAGCATCTGGGGGGTCCGGGGGACAGAATAAAGGTAAGTCCAGACACACAGTCACTAGGGGGGCAGTGCTTGCCTGGAAAAGCTTCCTTGACCAAGGAGATGTCAACCTTCCACCCCCAGCCATTCTCCCAGCCCCTGAGGAAACAGGGAGGGCACCCTGGACTCCTCACAGGCCCACCCAGCTCTAGGGAATGATGGACATGGGACAGTGCAGGGGCAAAGCAGTTGAGAGAAAGAGAAGAATGGATCCTATTGAAAGACAGCAGTGCTACTGTCGAAACATTTTCAAATGAAGCCGGAGCATTGTCCCAAGACAACTGTCAGGGTTAAATCTCCCAACACAACACAGGTCTGGTCTTGGGCCAACTGGCCGTCAGCAAATTTCTTCGACACATTATCAAAAAAATTATCTGGAAAACTAAAAATTTCACTGGTTCAGTCTACCTGGTCAGCAAGCAAAAGGTAAGCAGACAGACCTGACCAACATTTGCCAACCTGGCAAGACATCCGTAAGCAAATGGATTACAGGGAAATAGCTGAAACACTGCCCGTGAGCTCCACAACCTAGAAATTAACATGAACTCCACATTTCAGACACGATTCCACAGCTCGGTCCTCAGGCGAGATCCATAAAAGTGTTTATGATGTGGGGGTCCAGCCGAAGCTACACCAAGCCTGGCTCTTCCAGCAGGGAACAGATGGGTGTGGATCCAAAGGAATTCCCAAACATGCTCTTCCATGTCCAGTTAAGAATCCTGACACCTTTTCTAGGGATGTTCACTGGAGCTGCCCCACATCGGAAGCTACGCAGAAAGGGGCGCTTCCTTTGAAGGAGGGAGTGGTGGTGGAGGGATTGTCTGACACACGAATCAAGCCAGGAGGGATGTCTGAGGGCTCTGGACAAGCCCGCGTTGGCTTTCTCCAAGTGGGTATGTAACAACCGACACTGAGCGGAAGCAGGTGTGTGCCGACAGCATTCCCCATGCGGGACCCAAATGGACCAAACGGAAGGTACCCAGGACACTTGAGTTCGTCTTCCTCTGCCTGGACTTAGCCAAGGTGGCTGCTCCCTGCCAGCTCCAATGGCCAAGATGGCACAGGCCCAAGAAGAAGAAAGAAGTTTCCTCTCCTCCCTTACCGTCAAGCAGTCCTGGGGAAACTCAAGGAGGATTTCCCGTAGAAGGTGCCAAGGGTGTCTTAGGGATCAAGTGTCCTAAAGAATTTGAGAGTCACTGTGAAAGGATCCTTCCTGGCTCTGGTGTAGACACTCAACCTGTTCTCTGGACCAAAAAAGCTCCAGGGCCACGGGTCCTTCCGCTTGACCTGCCCTGCGCCACTTAGAGAGGACCAATCTCTCCTTCTCAGCCCTCCTCATCTCCCCCAGCCAGGCCTCCCCAGATACTGACTGATCCACTCAACACCTCCAGGGACCAGAGTGGCTGGTGACTGCTGGAGGCAAAGAGAATACGGGCCGGGACCACAGGGTTAGCCATGGGCATGGAAAACCCCCAACACCTCGAGCATCGACCTTTCTCTGGGCGCCCAACTCAGACCAGGCGTAGCTTCATGTAGAAGGTTCTCCTGTTCATTGAGATTAGTTCTGTCCTCACCAACTAAGTCAAAATCAAACCCTCCTCCCTCCCGGCAGCTGACTCTGGGACTGTAGTCTGATGGTCAGAGACCAGCTGCTGGCCATTGCTACCTTGGGTCGGTGACAGTTAAGAATGAAAGAGAGAGAAAAAAATATATGGATTGTCTGGACATTTGGAGAGAGGACGATGTAGACCTTTGGCTGATAGCTCAGCTGAGTGAGAACTCTGTCTCACCCTCCTAGGAAGACCCAAATCAGGACATAACAGAAGAAACAAACCCTTAGGACCAAGTTCAAGCATTTCCCCCAAGCAAAGGAGCCGGATTCTAGACAATGCGGGGTCCCTCGGTAAGGGCCTTATTCCCCCACCTCTTGGGGATGTTAAACATGTTAAGAACGTTAAACATGCTAAGAACTGTAGGTTTGTATACCCTTTGGGCTGGGAGGACCCTTTATCTCCGAAAAGGCAGCCAAGTGAAGAGAAACCCCTCCCATGAGTTCCCCTAAGGACAGGCTCAAGGGCTAGTATTTGAGACCCAATTGACCCTCAGTGGGCCTGGTACCAAGCCCGCCCTTGTACCCACTGTAGTCCTTCCTCTGCCGGCCACCTCAGTTTCATCTCTACAGAGGCCATTGCTAGAATGCACCAACGGCAAGAACCTTGCATGTGCTCGGGTCCAGGGAAGCACGAAGGTACCATCTGTACAGGCAACAGACACAGCATTATATAAACACAAATAAATAACTTAAATAGTCTGATTCTGGGAGGGGTGGGGAATCAAGTTTTCCGAGGAGTCTGGGGTGGTGGTTCTTGCAAAACTAGCTTTACATATAATACACATAAATTATCAGAATTCCCGCCTTACATCGGTGTAAAAAATATAGCTTTAACAAAAACATCTCTAAATGTACACTATTCAGGGGGTGGCAAAAATCAATCACTCGCTGGGTTTGAAGACCAAGGCCTGAAGGTCACACAGGCGCATGTCGGAGAGGACAGCGCAGAGGCAAGGTCAACACGATTGCTTTGTTCACCAGTCTGGGACAGCTCTAAGAAGAGTTCTCCCCTGCCACCCAAGCTGCACCCAGTCCAAGAGAGCCATGGCGGCCGGGTCTCCCCGCCAGAGGCACTGTGTAGACACAGCCTGAGTCAGAAGGATGGGGGATGATGGTCTCCCCTTTCCTGGACCGCGGCGATGCATTTCAGTGAGTGGGGACAAAGACGGGGGAGCGTGGGGGCCTGGCAGAGCCTGGGAAGAGATAGCCCTCGGTAGCTCTCCAGCCAGAGGGGCAGGGATGCCTAGGGGAGTGGGGGTGGGCAGGGTGGAGGCCAAGTATTCTGCGATTCCCATCTGCTACACAAAATGAAACCAACGAGGGAGCAACCAAAGGACACAAAGACATGGACACAACCCTAGGTACGAAGGGACACCTCGACAAGCTTCTTGGCCAGGGCACACTGTGCTCTGATTTCTGAGACACAGGGCAACGCTGGAAGGCAGGCACCCTTGAGTGTTGGGGCCAGGGAGCCGTGGTCCTTCAGACCTCGTAGATCTTGTCCTGCAGGTAGCTGAACAGGGAGTCCAGGCCCTTGGACGAGCTCCACAGCTGCTTGAGCATCACACACTCCTTCTCGTTCACGTCCTCCAGCACCGACTTCAGGAAGCTCCGCACGAGACATTTGGACTCTTCTAAGACCTGCAGGGGAACCCAACGGGAGTCTCGTTAGCTGGGCCTCGGGACGCTGCTCCAGGGCCACCCTTGGCCGGACCACAGCACACATCTCAACCTCACAACGTCTGGAGCCAAAGGAGGCAATCTTGTTGGCCCGGTGCTCCCTGATCACCAGCCACGAACGCACGTGTGCCAAGAGGGTGGGCCCTCGGCCCCAGGGTGTCCTCAAGGCTGTCCCCATTTCGGTGGGCATCCCGGAAAGGCTTGGGACACGCTCTCACCTCCCCACGCCCACATTTATTTATTCTGCCCAACCGGAATCAGGATGCTCAACTCAAGGACAGCTGCGAACATGCAATGAGCTGATGTGATGCCTGTCAGTGTACCGTGTGCCCTGCTCTGTCAGTCAGGGCACCTCTGGTTCAGGCTGCGTGGGCAGAGGAGTCCTTACCAGGAAGGGTAACAGGAGGGCTAACAGTCATAAAACAAAACGAAACCAAGAAGCAAACTCAGAGGGACCCTGTAGCGTAGGGCAGAACTGCCCCCTGTGGAGTTCCAAGACTAATTTTTCACAAGAGGAGAAAGACAGCCACCTGCCTCGACTCCTGTCTTCCAACCAGACGTTCCCACGCCACGCCCCGCAGTGCCGTGCAGGATAAGACCGACACTTGGTTAACTGGCCACGGCAGCCGAAGTGTTGGCTACGTTACTCCCTGGCGCCTGCCTTTGCGCAACTGTGTGCGTATTTGCTTTTCTGAGCGCCTTCAGAGGCAAACAGTGACATTTAAGTGTGGGCCTTGCACTCGGTAGCTGCACGCCGGAAATTAAACACTAGGACATCACGCCTGGCTGCCTCTCGCTCGTCTCGCGGCTGGCCCCGGCGTATCCCGCGATCCTATCTGCTGTGGCGTCCGGTTTCTCTGAACGCGGTAGCTGCTTTGTGGGTTTGTGCGTGCTGGGCACATTTAAGAAGCCCTGGGGACATGGGGCTAAATCGGCCCAGCTGCTCATGGCCCGTCGGCAGTTAAAGCCAAGAAAGACCCATGTCTGTTCCCCTGACGGCGACGGCCTCAGAGACCTAGGGGGCAGTTTGATCTTTCCGGGAGGGTTGCTATGATTAGACGGCAGTGAGTGGTTTGTGAGTCTTTTGTATCATGAGCATCTCTTTTTTTAAATTAACACGCTTTGTCCCTGAGTATAAATCTCTCCTGTGAGAAGGTCTCAAAGCGGAGAAGTCTAATCGTGCTGGCTCACAGCAGACCCACGACCCGAAAGACAAAGTTAGAATTGCCCGCTGTGGGTTTCCAAGGCAGGCCAACTTCACAGGGCCAGGAAGTTTCCATCTCTCTCCTGCAGAGCGGCTGGGGGATTTGAACTGCCAACCTCATAGCTGGCAGCCCAATGAGCAACCCACTATGCCAGCAGGGCAACGTGGGTTGCAGTCGGCTTTAGGACAGTGAGTCTGGTTTGAGATTGGGAATGGTGCAGATCCTCTCCTTCTGAGTCGGATTCTCAAAACTGAGACAAAAAACAACTCACAAACTGCCATCCACCTGATGCCAACTCACAGCAACCCTACAAGACCAGGTAGAACTGCCCCTGTGAGCTGCCATGACTGTACCTCTTTATGGGAGTAGAAATCCCCATCTTTCTCCCAAGGAGAAGCTGGTGGTTTTGAACTGCTGATCTTGTGGTTAGCAGCCCAGCGCATAACCACTACATCACCAGGGCTTCTCTCAATACTGAAGAGGTACGTACTAAGTTACACAGGCTCTATTTGTTGTTTATTTTTTAATTAAATTCTGGTAAAAAATATACATATCAACCCGCTGCCATCAAGTCGGTGCTGACTCATAGCTACTCCCTGTAGGTCTCTGAGACTGTAACTGTTTATAGGAGTAGAAATCCTAGTCTTTCTTCCAACGAGCTGCTGGTGGTTTTGAACTGCGGACCATGAAGACAGCAGCTAAACGCTCAACCACCACACCACCAAGGCTCCTCTCACACATTTCAAAGCATGCGTGAATTCAACACATTCTCTGTAAGACTTTTGAAAACTCAGTTTGAGGCCCTGAGCCTGCTAGCAGTGGGGTCCACTGTAAGGCACCACTCCTCCTATCAGGAAGATTCAAAGAGGGCCTGGATTACTTGACCCATGAGAGGCATCTGATAGATAGCATGTGGAAGTCCAGGGCACAAATGGACTCTCCACCAATGGCCACAGCAGTACTTTTTGCAACAGCTTAGAGGTGGGCATGCCCCAAATGCCCATGGCCAGGCAAATACATAAACAAAACGTGAGACAGGGGAGGTGTGGAATATTACGTGGCCATGAAAAGTGAAGAAGTGCTGACGCCAGCCAGGATGGGGGTGAACCTTTAAACACACGGCTGGGGGACATCAGTCGGTCCCAACCAGACGCACATGGTAGCTTCTCCCTCACATGAAATAAGCAGACACAGTTGATCCTTGACCTACAAGGGCCTGACCTACATGGGCTTCAACCGCACAGGCCCACTCAGCAGAATTTTTTTTTTTTTGCCCCTGCAACGAAAACAGAAAAGTTTTCAATGAGAAAAAAACTGCCTGACTGGATGATAAGACCGTTGGTTGGCGTCTGAGCTGTGGCTATCTGCTCGTTTGAGATGAACCAATCCATCCAATGCCGGGATTATGATATTGGCCGCCCGAGATGGCGAGACCAGGCCCTCCTCCTCCTCCTCCTCAGTCTACTCCACATGAGGGACACACAGACCTTGCCCTGCATGACGACTCACTTCCACTTGGTGAACCATTACGTTGGAGTGGAGTCAGACGTTAACGAGTGGCTATTCCACGGCAGGGGCTCAGGGCCCCAGCCGCACCCGTGTTGTTAGAGTCAAGCGTGTGGAGCGGACACCAGAGATTTCAGATGGCTCTGGGGAGCCGGTGGGGGGCTCACCACGGCACTGCAGGATGCCATCTCCTTGACCCGCAGCATGACCTCCTGGCTGAAGGTGGTTGGCCAGAAGACCTGGGACACGAGCCCCCGGCTACAGGCTTCCTGAGCAGTGAGCTTCCTTCCGCAGAAGAGCATCTCATTGGCCTGCAAAGGCAGAAGTGGGAAGGAGAGGGTTGAGTGCCTGTGGCTGACCCTGTACCCCAAAGTCAAGCAGGATGAGGTTTGGGGAACCTGTGGGGTCCCATCAGTGTGCGTATGTCTGTGTGAAATTTGGGAGGGAAAGGGGGCTATGGCTTTTGGGGCATTCTCAAAGGGAGCAAGGGATTTACGGTGACTTTGAATCATGGTTGCTTTCACGGGCTGCTGGTCAAATGTGACCCTACGTGACAGAACGGACGTGCCCCATAGAGTTTCCAACACTGCCATCAAACTGACAAGAGAAAGGCCCGCCAGGTCTTTCCTCCTGTGGAAGGCTGGTGGCTCAAGGCAGCCAAGGGCTTCGCTGTTGATTGACCAGAGGTGGATTGCCCAATAAGCAAGGCAAACCCAGGCTTTCTTGTGCTTGCTTACAATTCTGTAGAGAATGATGTCACATGGGTTTCCGATGAGTCAGAAAATACAAGTCAGCCTGGCCCTGGGGTGGGAGTGGTGGGGGCCAGAGGGGCTATACATTTGAAAAACAGCCTCTGATTCTGCGAGGCGGGGCTGTGAGGTTGGGAGCGAGACAGATGCCTGGCAGACCTAAAGGCAGCATCTCAGGTGTGGCGGGGGGGAAAGAGAGAGAACTCGTATGCTCTCAAAAACAAACCGACAAAACCCTCACTGCCACGGTCCATCCCAGCACAGCGACCCTAGAGGACGGGGCGACTGCCCTTTGGGTTTGTGCGGCTGTCCATCTTTAGAAGTGCAGACGGCCTCATCTTTCTCCCACAGAGGCTGGGGGCTTCAAACTGCTGACCTTGGGGGGACCAGGCCGACACATAACCTGCCACCTTCAAAACGGTACACTACAGAATAGTAAATACCCACAAAGAAGCCTGTGCTTACTTTGTTTATTGGGTGGTTTGTCCCTGTCAGTAGCCCTGAAGACAGAGTCCATGGAGTGAGGGGGCAGTATGTCAGTCGTGATGTCTAGTCATGTCCAGGTGACCCTCCCCCACACCACTGAGACTCCTCTGGAAGGTCTCCAAGTCGGCACTGGCTGAAGGGTTCCCTCTCCTTCTCTGGGTGCAGGGGGCAGCCAGTGAGCTCAGAGCTGCCCTGACACACCTGTTTGGTGGGAGGGGAGGGGTAGGATCATCCACAGGGGCAGGGGATATGGACAAAGAGTTCTGCTGGTGGGTGAATTCTGGACCCTACTAGATTTCTGGACTCCTCTGATGCCCAAGCAGTCACCCCAAGTCACACAGGCAGAGTATCATGTCTCTTGCGATGGTCCAGGACCCTGTAGGGACAGAAGACACCCCTGCCCTCCCCGGACCTGCAGCCCACTTGCCAGGGAGGCACCTTTTGATGTGAAATATACCGTCAGTCCCTGACATTCCCAGGGGAGCCATGGGTAGGGAGAGCCTCAGGCACGGGGAGCACAGGGTGGAGTGGCTGCCCTGTCAGGCGGCATGGTCACCGCCAGCAGGCCATGGGATGCAGTTGGTCCTGATCTTCTTCAGGATGGATTCTCCAGTCCTTCCCACCAGACGACACCTCCCTGCCCTGTCCTCCATCCATGTCCCGCGCCTGCGTCCTGTCCTGGGGGGTCGGCTGCTCTGTTCTCACTGCCTCCAGGCCTGTTCCCAGGTTCCCCACCTCCACCGGCTGTCAAGGATGCGTCGCCACGGCCTACAAGACACCCCACTTCGCTGGAGTAGAGAAATGCATTAGGTGGGTGTCATGGGTTGAACTGTACCCCCACCGCTGCTCTCTGCCCACAAAGATATGCTCAACTTGCAACCCCTCTACCGGTGGGTACTTAGAAGTACGGGCAGACCTTGGGGGCATTAAAGATTCCACTCTAAGCCACTGCAATCAGGAGAATCACTAGAAGGCTGGCGAGGTGACTCTGAGGAAAGTGACTACTTAGGAAAGTGATGTTGACACTATATCGTCGTGCGAAAGCATGACGCAGAAGTGTGGACTCGTGGGAGAATGGCACCCATAGATGCTCGGCGTGCTAAACAATGGGTCTCTGAGGCGGGCCTGCAGTAGCCGTGCACATGTGATGCGGATGATGTGCACGTCACGCTGGATGACCACGGGCATGAACGCAAGGGCTGGGGTCCTTACGAGAGAGACGAGAGCAAGATGCGGATATGGAGGTGCAGAGGGAAGCCCATGTGAAAAGGCGGAGATGGAAGGGATTATGCAGCTACAAGCCAGAGAGAGCCAAACATTACCCCGCAGCCACCAGGAGCTGGGCACCACCCTGCTGGCACCTTGATTTCCAACCTCTCTACTGCACACTCGTCACACCTGGAGCGACAGGCGAAATTGTAGTAACTGAGCAAAGAAGTAGTGAAGGATTTCATCTTGCTTGGATCCACGATCATTGCTCATGGAAGCAGCGGTCAGAGATCAAACAATGCACCGCACTGGGAAAATCTCACTGCACAAGACCCCGTTAATGTGCTGAAGAGCAAGGAGGTCGCTCTGAGAACTGAGGTGCACCTGGCCCAAGCTATGGTATTTTCTATCACCTCCTATGCCCGTGAAAGACAGACAATGAATAAGGCAGACCGAAGAAGGGATGGATTTGAATCACGGTGCTCGCGAGACTGTTGAAAGTACCATGGACTGCCCAAAGGACAAACAGGTCTGTCTTGAAAGAATACCAGGTAGGGTACTCCTGAGAAGGAAGGAAGGTGAGACTTCGTCGTCTCGTGTATTTCGGACAAGTGGTCAGGAGAGTCCGGTCTTGGGAAAAGGACCTCCCGCTGGGTAAAGTAGAGGGGCACCATCAAAAGATGCGGCAGACCCCCACGAACATGGGCCGACACAGTGGCTGCAGCAACGTGCTCACACTTAAGGACTGTGAGGATGGCGCCGGGCGGGGCGGGGCGTCGTCCTGTTGGGCACAGTCTCACTGGGGGTCAGAACGAATTCAATGGCTCCTCACAACAATCAGCTGTGTGGAGCGCTATGAGACCCTGTCCGGTTGTTGGAAGCCCTCGGTGTGTGGTGGTCACAGCAGCTCCAGAGAGAATAGCAGCGTCCAGAACACACCTTTGGTAAGATGTCTGCAGGGAGACACATGCAGCATCTTTTGTAAAAACAAAAAACACCTCTGTCTCCGGAAGTAGAAAGAAGAGGAACAAAGCCAGTGGAAGCAGCCAGACTCAACTCTTTCTTGGAGCGAGCTCGTCTCAACGGGCAACATTCCTGGAGTTTCAGGAATGCCTGGAATAAAAGAGAGCGGGGAGTGGGAGATAAGACTGCACAGTTTTGACATTTTTGTGTGGCCGCAGAAGACGGGAGGAGTCCGACAGCCCGGTGGCTGCGGTCACTAGGGGATGTGCCTGCTTTCTGGGCTCAGCGTCTATGAGGCTGTGAGCAGCTCTGGGCGGCACTGCGTCCCCCAAGCTGAACCACCTGCTGGACCTGCTGCCCTGGAGGTGGTGTCAGTGGCTTTCCAGGGCGGACAGGGACATCACCACTCTCCTAGCAGTTCTCCCTGCTTCCAGCTGTCATCCAAGAGCGACACAGAGAAGGGAGAGGATGGGGGACCCTCATCCTTCCACCTCATCCAGGAGGCACCCCGAGTCCTTCTTTAACCGGCACTCCCTCTGTGCAGGGCCGGGGTTCCCTCTTTGGTGGCCTCAATCCTGGCGTCTCTATCCATCTGTCAGAAACCACATAGAACTCCAGAGCCGTGGTTCTTCCAGGCCTCATCCACAGAGCAGGGGGAGCTGATGGTATAACGAAGCCCCCTTTGCCTTCCCGACAGGACCAGCTTGCTCCAGCCAACCACAGCCAGAGCTGAGCCCTTGGCTATGAGCAAATACGAGAGCGTTAGGATGCCTGTCCATCTACCCTGGAGGGAGACCTCTCTGACTATATGCAAGGGCTTCTGGAAGGAGCCTCCAATGAGAAGATAAACATCGACGACCAACCGCCTACCTCCTGTGAGAGGCAGGTGCCAGACCAAGAAGTCAAAACTTAAGCAAGCAAACAAACCAAACGGGCACAAAATCCAGAGGAACCAGGGACAGCTCCGTCCGACATCAGAGATGGCTGAGAATAGAATGGGGTCTTCCCAACCCTTTAAGAAAGCTACGAGGTTCCAACGGGGTGGCATTTGATGTCTGCGGCACGCGACTTCTGACTCAGCGCCACCTTCATCGACACCACGCCGCTGCTGTTGTGTGAGAAGCCACTGCGTCGGTTCCAACACATAACTACGTACACCTCTGTGCCACAGAGCAAAACCCTGCCGGTCCCACGGCATCCTCACCATTGCTCTGGTGTTGTAGCCAAGTGTTCGTGCAGCTCACCAAGGGCCTTCTTCCTCCTGTTCGATGCCCCTCCGCTTCACCATGGCTGCTGGCCTCTCCTCCAGGGATCGGTCTCTTCTGTTAACATGTCCCAAGTCTGTGCTCAGGAGCACTCCGACAGATCTGTTTGTTCTTGGGCAGTCCACGGTACTTTCAATATTCTTTGCCACCACCATAGCTCAACTCCACCCATTCCTGGGCAGTCTTCCTTATTCCAAGGCCGACTTTGACATGCCTTTGAGGCTACTGTACATGCCCTGGCTTGGGCCAGGCAGACCTCGGCCTCAAAGACAACAGCCTTGCTTTGCCCCACTGTAAAGCGGTCTCAAACAGCAGATATCCCCACTGCCGTGAGTCATGTGTTCTCTTGCTTCCTGTTTCCATGAGCACTGATTGTAGATCCAAGCAAGATGAAATCCTCCATGATTTCAATGTTTTCTAATTTGTGCATACTGGGAATTGGGTGGTCTTGTAGCACTCCGAGGGGCAAGACAGACATCCTGTCCCATCCAGACAGTGTACCCCTTTAGGGCCCACTCTGAAGGGAAACTATATGCTCTCCAGAAGGCCCTGGATTCCAGACAAGAGTAAATAAGTCCGAGGAGGAAGCGGGAAAGATCCCTAAAATGAACAACCCACTGACCGCAGAGCTCGGAACACCCGAACCTGGTCAGAGAACTTCACTGGTCACGACATGTATGACCGGGGGCATACACTTAGCCCCCCCAAGACTTGACGCTCTCCCCAGAGCAGCAAGCACGATACTATGTGCAATTTAGACAAGAAGGTGCTCTGAAGTGGGGTCCTGGTGTGTACAGAGGGCTCATTATTTGCATGGTTCTGGGTGGTGTCCTTTTGAATAAGGGGCAATGAACACTATTAAGGAAGGAAAAGGGGTATTGCTAAGGACTCGAGCTAACTGTTGCTAACAAATGCCAGACCTGGGAGATGTCAACAGAGAGCTGACAGGTGCCCCCAAGGTGAACGGAAGGAAAGAATGCAAAAGCTAAGGCAGAGAAGACAGAAAGCCGGAGAACATTACTCCCTCTGCCATCCCCAAGGGGAACCAAGAGCGACTGCTGCAATGGGAAGCCGTGAACCACCCCAGCACTAAGAACAGAACGTCCTCATGGAATCAGAATAACGCGACAGGGAAAGCAATTGTCTCTCCTGAAAGAAGCAAAGCCTTACAGTAGATATGGGCAATACTGGAACCAGAGGACACCATGCTGCCTGGCGCTGCTTTGAGATCGCTCAAAGTCCTTTCTTTTCTTCCTAGACATAAAGCTAGACTACATTTCCCAGCCTCCCTTGCAGTTAAGTGTGGCCATGTGACTGAGCCTGGCCAAGGAGATGGGAACAGAAGTGAATTTGCCCCCTCCAAGAGGCCTGGCCTATGAAAACGTCCCAGGTGAAGGTCCAGGCTCTCTCTCTTCCCAACCCCCCTGGCTGGAAGTGAGGTGAGCACTGGATGGAAGGCAGCTGGGTCCCCAGCCAGGGTGGCAGGCGACTCACCCAAGCCCTCATCTGGACAGTAGGAAAAGGGCAGAGCTTTGTGTTGTGTTAAAACCACTGAGGTGCCGGGGCTGTTTGTCACAGCAGCAAGCCTTCCCCAAACCAATACAAGGCTCTCCTGGGTTGGTGTGGAAAGGAAATTTGACAGTGTGGGTAAGGTCCTTAGTCAAGAGCCATGCACACAGTGTGTGCTCAGTGGATGAAGTTCAGTGGTCATCTTCTCAGACCTCAGTCACCACTTACCCAGTCCACCCCCTAGGCGCCCCCACCCCGGCTTTGCCACTGGCTTTGCTACTTGTAAGTGACACTGCACGTGCTGAAGACGGCCACGTCTCCATCCCAGCCCCTCCCGGGAGGCTGAGGGACCTGAGCGGGAGCCCAAGAGAAGACCAGCTGAGAGGACTCCGGGTCTCAACCCATCGGCACAACCAGCTCTTAAGCCCCATCTGATTTTCTGGGCCCCAGTCCTCACCAGTGACTCCTTGGCGAAGCCCCTCGAGTAATTCCCAACCTGCCTCCCCCATCTGAAGCGGGAATCTACTCTGACAGAGAAGGGAGCACTAGAAAGCATTGGTATAAGTCGCACAATTCTTTATAGAACAAGGAGATCAAAATGTGATGCCACTGTCCCTCCACATCGCCTCCCCCTCGGTCCGGCCACGTCTGAAGCCAGTGTTTCCCTCGCGCCCGGAACATTCCCCACTCTCTCTAATTTCGGCCACATCAAAACAGCAACACTTTTCGATGACTCTGGTGTCACCAAATGTGACCAGAGAGCCTTCGTGGGAAGGGCTCCAATGATGAGGCAGCATACCCCACCCTCAAATCCACCCAGTTCAAACTTAGGGTGTCGGGGGGCGGTGTCTTCTGGGGACCCAAATCCACCCATCGCCAAGAAGACAGTCGCCAGAGACCAAGGGGGCTTACCAGCGCGACGCCCAAGATCTGGGGGAAGGTATAGGAGGAGCAGCCGGCGGGCGTGAGGCGGATGGTGGCATAGGGCGTCTGGAACCAAGCCTTCTCGCTGGCCCACACAATGTCGCACAGGGGCAGGATGGAGGCGCCCAGGCCCAGGGCAGGCCCGTTGATGGCGACCACAATGGGCTTCTTAAACTGGATGAAAGCCTTCACAAAGTCCCTGCGAAGAAAGACAAGAGCCCCTTGAACCCGTGGCTACATCTGAAACCTGAGATTCTACCAAGGCTGAACCCAGCTCCCCTGGTTCAAGGGAGGCCCTGGCCCTCCCAGAGCCGGTGCCACTGGGCTGCAGCAGCAACAGGTCCTGCACTCTCAGCTCGGGGTGCCAGGCTCTACCAGGGCTATCCCAATATGCCCATACCAATCCCCCAGTAACATCCCAGTCATCGCCCTTCCATTCTCAAAAGCCATGGTTTGGACAATCACATGTGCCCTCTCGCTACTGACAAGACTAGTATCTACTTTAAGGAAAACAACCTGAGCTGTGAAGAGGGGGCACAAGGTCAGTAGTTCAAACCACTAGCTGCTCTGAGAGGCAAAGACTTCTGTTCCCATGAAGAGTTTCAGTCACAGAAACCCACAGGGGGCTGTTCTAATCTGCCTTACAGGGTCATCATGAGTCGGAATCAACTCAACAACAGCAGGGAGCCCAGCTAACGCTGTAGATAAAAATACAGGTTGCTCAGTTAGAACACAATTTCATCTAGGGGGATGAAAAACAAATGTGGGGGAAGGGAGTTTAAGATATGAAAACAATAATTTATCAAGGGGTCATGAGGGTGGGGGAGGGAAAAAAGGGCTGATCCCAAGGACTGAAATAGAAAGTAAATGTTTAGAAAATGATGATAGCAACACACGGACAAATATGCTTGACACAATTGATGTGTGAAATGTTTGGGCTGTAAGAGCCCCCAATAAAATTATTTTTAAAAAACAACTGAATTTCAGGAGAAAAACAAAGACTTTTTTAGTGTCAGTACGAGGGGGTACCCCCCACAAAACCGGAATTTTATTTTCTTCCCCGACTCCAAACTATGTATTTACTTTTTTTTAAAAAAAACAAAACAACCTATCACCTTCAAAGTATTCTGTTACACTTAATACATTAGTCAAATCTGCAATTCCATTCTTGGAAACATTTTTCAAGCTCATCTGTTTGGATGGCTGACAGCACCTCCTCGTTTTCTTCTTCACTTCTACGTCAAATCACACTGTCCTTTCACGTCCCTCTTCAATCGCAGAAACGAAAAGAAGTCCCACAGAATGAGGTCAGGTGAGTAAGGTGCATGGGGCAAGAGAGGCATGCTGTTTTTTGCCAAAAACTGTCACACTGAGGTGGCTGCGTGAGCAGGTGCGTTGTTGTGGTGGCAAAACCAGACCCTGTCTGCCACAAGTCAGGCTTTTTGTCACACACTGTTACGCAATCTTTTCAGAACCTCTAAATAGAAAGTTGATTATCAGTCTGACCTTGTGGAATGAACTCCAAATGCACGACACCTACATTTTTGTCCATTTGGGAAGTTGACAGACATCCAGGGCGAAGTTTGTCATCAATTGACAGTTCACTTTTTTTTTAAATGAGAAAACTACTTGCACACTTGAGTTTTCCCCATAGCGTTGTCCTGGTAAGCCGTGTTCAACATCACAACAGTTTCTGCGGCCTTTCTCCAGAGCAGGAAACAATATTTTACAGCTACACGCTGTTCTCTTAAATTGACCATCACGCAAAACTAGGTTTGAGCTAAACTGCTTTTACGAAAAAATTCACTATCAGAGAGTACCTTCCCAGGTGATGCCACTGGGTGCACTAACAGCTCAAAGCAAGTTGCTGGATGCTCACCTAGCGGAAAACATTCTAATACAAAACTCTGCTCCGCCCTGCACAATTCTGATGTGGGGGTACCCCCTCGTATGTGTCAAGTCTGAAAGTGAAGAGACTTGGGAGCATGGTGTGAAGGACTGGAAGAAATTACAGGATGTATTTCCTGAGGGCTGTGGCCCCAAGACCTCTTCTCAAGTCTAAAGCGTTAACAAGCAAAGAGGTCACTAGGGAGGCCTCAGGCATACCTGCCCAAGTCAAAGTCGTTCCAATCATCTTGTATGCATATGAAAGGTGGCTATGGAATAAGGACAACTGGAGGTGAACTGATGCCTTTGAATTACAATGCTGGCTGAATGGTGAATACTGCCTATGCCCCTGGCTGCCAGAAAGACAAACCAGTCTGTCTCAGAGGAAGTACAGGCAGGATGTCCCTTAGGAGCGAGGATGGTGAGACTTCATCTCATTTACTGTGGACATGTGATCGGGCGAGACCAGCCCCTGGAGAAGGACATCCTGCTTGGGAAAGCAGAGGGGCGGTGGAAGAGTGGAAGGCCCTCACGAGATGCAGGGGACGGTGGCTGCCACAATGGGCTGGACCCTCATAGTGATGGGTGAGGACAGTGCAGCACGGGGCACTGTTTCCGTCTCTTGTGCACCAGGTGGTAGTGAGTTGGAACTGACTCAACACGCCCATCAAAAACATCTTATCCTTCATCAGGGGATGGATCTACTTCGCTAAATTTCTGAAAATGAAAAACCCAGCACTCTGTTATTAACGTGAAGTTCACACGTACCTAGCACACTGTGCTTTCATGTGCATCCTGAGGTGAGCCTAGACGGTGCCCCCACTGGGTCCCACCAGGAGCAGGACTCACCTGATGGCTTCCGCGATCCGCGTGCTCTCCTTCCTCCGGTCGCTGGACAGCCTGCCAATCAGGTAGGAATAGTCCAGGCCACTGCAGAACACGCTGCCCACTGCGCTGAGCAGCAGCAGCTTGCTGTCATCCGTGGCTGCATTGCAGAGCGCGCGGCGGACCTCCTTCATGATCTGTGGGCAGATAGCCAGGTGCAGGGGAGTTAGGTGGTCCTCCACGCAGCCGGGGGCGGGGGACTCTCAGACCTCTAGGCTACTGTGCTGTGTGCTGGGGACCATCCTGAATGGAGGCCTAAGTCCAGACCAAAGAAAAGAAGTGCTGGGTAAGCCCAAGCCTTCTGTACCAACCCCACAGCTGGCCAGAGTGTTGGTAACACGGTAAGATGGTAACAGCTAGCCAGCTGGAGCAGTCTGGTGCCATGGGCACAGGAGAATGAGGAGGCCACCCCCTCACAAAGAGAGTGACCGTCTCAGAAACCCATCGGGGCAGCTCTACCCGATCCTAGAGGGTTGCCAGGAGCCGGGATGAACTTGATGACAGGGAGTTTAGCTGGGTTTCAGTCCCTTGGTTTATTTCTGCAAGTTCGCTCCTGGCATTTGCTCACCCAGCCCGTCAGGAGGGATGAAAATCCCAGGTGAGGTACAAGTGCCACTGCTGCCGCTGGTGTTGCATGTCATTCAGTCTCGTCCACTCTGACTCACCAGACCCTTGAGAACAGAGGAGGCCTGTGCCATGGGGCCTTTAAGACTGCATCTTTTTTAAAGAGATTATTCTATTGACATCTAATTCCCACGTCATGCACATCCATCGCTGGGTCATATTTAAGAGAGTTGCATCATTATTACCACACTCAGTTCTAGAACATTTTCTTCCTGCTTGTCCTCGCTATTACCTCCCCATTTCCCTCCAACCGCCCCTCCCATGCGCCCAAGGAGCCATTAGTAATCCAGATATTATCTCTATAGATCTACCTATGCTGGATTTCATATACTAGAAAACATACCCCCGCCCCCTTTTTTTTAAAGACCACCAAAACCAAAATAAGCCAGAGGAAAAACCCTCTGAGAGTTAGAGGGGGACATGGGACATGTGCCGTGTGGCTGGAGCGTCGGGCATAGCCTGCAGAGTCCTGCCTGAATCTCCCAGGGCCAGGAGGGAGCGAGCTGGAAAGCGCAGTCCTCACTTCGGTGGCAATGACCTTGTGTGAAGGGCGCTAGATGCAGATGGTGGAGATGGCTGAGCAACATGCTGGGTGCAACAGGGTCCCTGCATTTGTACAGGAAAGGCCGGAATGGCAACTGTTTTCTTACCCGGTCAACCCTAACCACCACAGTTGTGATTCACCTGGAGCTGCTGGCACTGGTGGTGATGCAGCGATGGGGGAGAGGGAGAGGAAGAGGGCTGGGAGGAGACGGACTTGAAGCAGGTCAGAGAGAGCACAGTGTCCCATGCAGGGCAGTGGGGACTAGCAGCAGCTGTTCTGTACCCCGCAGGGCACGGAGGACACAGCAAGCAGCAGGCAGCCAGGAGCAGCATGCAGGAACGTGCTGGCAGACCCTGGGATGCTCGGGGTCAGGGGAATCATCCAAGTCCGTGCTGGTGGGTTCCTGGGGACATGCCCGTCGATGCTGAGGGCCTGTGGGAGGGTCTCCCCCAACAGGGAAGGGGAGCTCTGAACCCCAAAGCCTCTGTGGCAGCGCTGGCCAGCACTTTCCACCTCCTGGCTCACCACAACCCTGGCAGGAAACTGACTAATGTGAGCCTGCTGGCCTAGGCACCTGGGGAGTGCCTCCGGTCATGCACGGAGCTGCCAGCAAGGCGGCTCCCAGCCAGGCCAGAAGAGAACTTCACCAGTGGCCGCCCAGCTCCTGCATGGGCGGACAAGCACAGCTGGCTCTGTGGGTAGCCGGGGAGGGCCCTTGCTTCCTCAGAATGGTGACGGGGACACGAGTTGCAGACCTGTGGGTGCCAGGTCCCCCACTCCACCCGTGTGCCATCTCCAACCACAAGGCAGGTGCCACGAGCTTCCTCCCCACTCCTTTCCTCTTTCTGCATTCTTCGGTTTTCGTTCCCTCTTCCCCTCTCTCTCTGTCTTTTCTTTCTTCCTCCTCTGCGTTCCCTTCCTTGGCGCCCCGACCCTGCCTGTTCTCTTTTCTTCTCTTTCTAACTCCTGGTGGAGAGCTGGGGGACAGGGGACAGGGCAGATCCCTGCTCCACTCAACAACACACACCCCCCCAACACACACACACTTTGTTTCCAGGCACTGAGTGCAGTCCCCAAAGACCTGCCCTCAATTCTTCTCCCACTTCCGGTCTGGGTTTCCGGTGTCCATTCCTCCTGCCGTACGCTGGCCCGCCACTTCCTGCCATCTGAACGTGTTCTTGTCACCCCGTTTCTACACGGGAGAAGCAGCTCGGAGGGGCCAAGCGACCTCCCAGGGTCATGGAAATGGTCAGTGGGTGGAGGAAGGATTTGAACCAGGTCTGCCAGGGCTACAAATTCTGTCCTCTGGCCCTCAGACTACCTCAGCCTCTCAGATCACTCTTCTTTCCAGGCTCTTGTACGCAGGCGCCGGCCCAGGCTCACAGTCCAGCCCCTCTGGCTGTGGAGACCGCCAGGGCTGGATCGGTCATTCCTCCTACTTGCCTCCTGCTGCCGTAAGACAGGCTACAGGGGGGGGCTACCTAACAGAGCAAGCCCGGGGTTCTGGCTGGGAGCAGGAAGGAGGGCACCTTAGACCATCAGAGCGGGCAGGGTGAAAGGTGCCATCAGGAAGAGGCAGAGTGAGGGAGGAGGCTTCTGGTTCCCTCAGCACATCAGGCAAGGGACCGCAGTTGGCCGAGCCTGCTGAACACGGGCTTTTACAAAGTCACAAAGGAGAGGAAATTCAAGGGGAATTGGTCTCCTGCGGATGATTCACAAGGAGCTTGGAATAAGGAAGTCTGCAGGTGTCTAAACAATTGGGGGGCCCAAACCGGGCTTCTCCCGAATCTCACACTGGGCAGGGAATCCCGAGCCGGTGCCCAGAAGGTAGATGAGAGAGCGTCTCCAAAGCACTGGGCTTGGAGGAGAGCTAACAAGCCCCCCACCCCTGTCCCCAAAGAACTCCAGGAGGCATCTGGCCACAGTTCCCTCCTTCACAGGGACCCAGAATGGCGCATGCATTTAAGTGTTTGATGGCTGGCCCCAAGGTTGGGAGTTGAAGTCCACCCAGAGGCAGCTCAGAGGAAAGGCCTGGAGAGCCACTTGCAGAGCAGCTGCCAGTGGAAAGCCCTGGAACAGGAGGATGGGCGGGTGGGGGCAGTGGTGGTGGACTGCAGGGACTGCAGTCGACAGGTGGGCAGCACGGACCCCAATGTCATGAGTGGCCGAAGGGAAGACCGAGAGGCTCTGTCCATGTCCACCGGAACCAAGGGATCCATGAAAAATATCAATACCTGAAAGCCCGGACTTATTGGTCTAATAGAGGCTGGTAGGACCCCCGAGGCTGTGGTCTTCGGTGGGCACTTGTCCGCCTGGAACGGAAGCCACCCTCGGGATCGCCAAGACAGGCCTAGAGAGTGAGCCAGCACGCTCACATGCCTCAGAACAAGTGACCATGTGGGGCCACAGGGTCCGTGTCTGCCCCAACACCAAAGCTCAGGGGGCAGAATGGGGTGGGGGGTAGGGATGGGGGAACGATGAACAAATGTGGGGTGGGGGGCCCTGGAGAAACCAGAAATGATGCTACCACAAGAAGGGAACTGCGACCAAGGTTATTAAGGGAAATGTGTGTGAAAACCTTTTTCTTCTGAGAAACTGGAGGGAGCATAGTTCTACTTAGATGGTCACCATGGCTGTTGAAGCAAAGCCGACTCAGTGACCCCATGGAACAGGGTAGAATTGTGGGTGTCTCAGACTACAACTCTTTAAGGCAGCGGTTCTCAACCTGTGGGTTGCCCCTTTGGGGGGTCAAACAACCCTCTCACAGGGGTCACCGGTTGATAACAGTAGCAAAATTAAAGTTATGAAGTAGCAGCGAAAGTAATGTTATGGTTGGGGGTCACCACGACATGAGGAACTGTATGAAAGGGTGGGGGCATGAGGAAGGTTGAGAACCACTGCTTTAAGAAGTATAAAGTCTCATCTTTCTCCCAAGGAGCTGCTGATGGTTTCAAACAGCTGACCTTGTGATTAGCAGCCTAGAGTAACCACTCTGCCACCAGGGAGGAGTCTCTGTCAAAATGGACAATTGGCTTACTTTTTTTCTCTGGTTTGTTTTACTACCTGGCCTCCTGAAGTGGACCGAGCTAACTAGACAAGGCCAGGCTACCTGGCCCACCTCAGGCTGGCCAGTGGCCCCTTCTGGGCCACGCCTCCCCAGACAAACTCTGGTGGCCACCCCTCCAGGATTCCAGTGACCGGCTTCCTGAAATGTCTGTGTGCAGGGTCTACTTTGTACAGTGGAGCGACCCTGGTCCGGGGTCATAAAAATGGAGCAGGGGGGACACGTGCAAAAAGTGACCAGCAAGCCACCCCTCCTGCCCTCAAGGTTGTGCCCCATCAAGTATTGGTTACGTCTGTCAGCTCCCTGTCGTTTCCCAAAGGAGACAGATGCCCTGCTCTGGGTGAGAGGAGCCCAGCAAGCCAGTCAGCCCTCAGGCCCCGCCCCTGCCCCCCGCCCTCCAAGGACCAGCCCACA